AGCCCTCTCACCCCCCAAAAGGGGCCGGGGGGGGGGGGCAGTGAGACTCAGGGAAATGCCTCCCTCCAGAAGACCTTGGAAGCTGAAAAGGCTCATACGGGGGGAACAGTCTTGCAGGTAGCCTGAACCCAAGGTGTAAAGGGCCTTATAGATCATTACCAGCACTTTGAATTGGACCTGGAAACGGGCCAGCCCCCCCCAGTGAATCCGTTGTAACAGAGGAGTTACATGCTCCTCCTTGTAATTAGCTGGTCAGCGGCCTGACTGCAGCATTTTGAACCAGTTGAAGTTTCAGAGCTGCATTCAAAGGCAGCCCCATGTAGAATGTGTGGCAATAATCCAAGCAGGATAGAAGTAAGGCATGTGTCACTGTGGCCAAATTCCTTTTCAGCTCTTTGGACAGGCCAGCAGGAAGTGAAATAAGAGAAAGAACTCTAAACATGTACAGAGCATTTTCACCATTAAGCAGTGGCAACACAGAGCAACAAGCTGGGTTCAAAAACAGTAGTTTCCTTCAGGACTTTCCTCAGACTATGGTCTGGCATTTGTTTTTCAGAAGGGAAGATATTCTAAAAGCAAAGTCTCCCTTTTTCTCTAGTCCAGTTTTCCCCCATCTGTCACTCTTCTGACATTGTAGACTCCAATTCCCATCAGCCCCAGCTAACTTGGCCAGTGTCCAAGGATTATGGGGGATGTAGCATGAAACATCCAGAGAGCATCAGCATCTCATCTGTGGTGGTGTTACACAATAAGCCTTAGGGTGGTCACTCGGTCTGTTTGTCTTGTCTCTATGTCTGCCTTTGTGCCTGCCTGTTCATGTTACCCTGCCCGAAGGATTGTCCATGTGCCACTTCCCTGCACATTTTCTGTTGTAGCATCAGCAGGCCCCACTGCTTCCCGTTTGGCCCAAAGAGCAGCAGCCCATGATCCCCTCACAAGGGATCTTGGCTGGCACCTCACGTAGCCTGGCTGGGAAAGAGTGTCTCCTTCTCTGAAAGAAATCTCTTGCGTCAGTTTTCTCCCTGTGCCAGGACCGTAAGGGTCGTGTGCCCTCCAAAAAGAACGACAGCTTCTAATCTGCCTACAAGAGGAAGCTCAACTGCTTCCGTTCGAAAACCCTTCCAGGTGCCGTCCCAGGCGAGGAAATACTGCTCACCACATCCTGCTTGAGTTGAAGCTGGAGTTTAATGTGATGAATTGTAAATGTGACAATGTCATTTGCATGACTGCATTTTATTTATTTATCTTATTTATTTATAAAAAATTTTTTGCCACACCATTACCAGTAGTCTCTGAGTGGCGTACAACAATATTAAAATTTTAAAAATATTAAAACCTTTAAAAATAGGCAATATTATAATAATATCCTATATTAAACACAATCATTAAAACATTAGTATTAATAAATCCTGCTGCTCATATGGCCAGCTAAAGAATATTATTAAATTAAAATGCTGGCTAAACAGAAAGGTCTTTGCCTCGTACCGAAAAGCCAAAAGTGTCGGAGCCAGGCGGATCTCTATAGGGAGGGTGTTCCAAAGTTGGGGGGCAACAGACGAGAAGGGCCTATTTCAACATTCTGCCCCCCTCACCTCTTTCAGGGATGGCACCTTTAGAAGGGCCTCCTGGCCTGATCTTAGAGAACGGGCAGGCTCATATGGAAGAAGGTGGTCCTTTATGTAACCAGGTCCTGCGCTGTTTAGGGCTTTATATGTCAAAGTAAGCACTCTGAATTGGGCCCAAACAGCAACCGGCAGCCAGTGTAAATTTTTCAGAACCGGCGTGATATGAGTCCATGCGGTGGCACCCCTTACCAGCCACGCAGCCTGGTTCTGTGCCAGTTGCAGTCGTCGGACTGTCTTCAAAGGCTGCCCCATGTATAGCGCATTGCAGTAGTCCAGT